CTGTTTTCTTTCCTTTTGGTCAGGAAGTTCTTCAGGTGTCTTCAGGTTTACAGAATCATTTTGTGTGCATGGAGTGGAGGGTTAGGGAAAACTAGCAATTTGGGTCGAAGCCCTCATGACTCTGGTGAATCTGTGTTTTGTAGTACTTAAAAAAATGCACTTCACTGGGAATGAAAGAAAGCCCAAGTCAAGACTTCACAGTGAAAAGCAGAGGAGATGACTCCAGAAAGAGAAGGAGTGATGCTGACAGGGAGTAAGAGTTTTAAGGGTAAACTGGAGGAAGATGAGAATAAACTGCTAAGTAAAAAACATAAACATCTTAAGCTTTCTAAGTTAGAAATAGAAAACCAGAGAGGTTTTTTTCTTAGCAGATTTCAAGCATCTTTTCATCCATTAATGTTGACTTTCTCCTTTTCCCAAGCAATATACATGGAAACGTGTAAGTATATAGAGGTGATACATTATAATGTTGAAAAGCACAGTGAAGAACAGTGGTTCTAAGAGCGGTCTCTGGACCAGGAATCAGTATCACCTGAGAATTTGTTAAAAATGCAAATTCTCAACACTATTTCAGACCTACTGAGTCAGCAACTTGGGGGTTAAGGCCACTAATTTGTGCTGTGACAGAAGCTTTCCAGGTGAACCTAATGTGTATCAACGTTTGAGAACCACTGGTATAGAGTATGACATCTGGAACCAGATAGCTGTAATACTTTGGGTAATTCATTTTTGTTTGTTTCCCATTTGTACAATGGTAACAGTACTAAACTCACAGTGTAGTAATGAAGACTAAATGAGTTAAAGTGTGTTCATTCCTTAGAACAAGATTGGTCCACTGTAAGTGCTATAGAAATGTTTAGATGATGATGATGACAATGAAGTTGATGATGATAGTACTCTTTATAGATGTTCTTTACTTTTGTCTCTCTACATTTCACAGTTTACAAAGTCTGATAATTAAGTACACAAACTTGTTGCAACGATGTTGCTAACCGTTTTTGCTATCAGAGGGATTATTCATTATGAATTTGTACCAACTGGACAAACAGTTAACCAAGTTTACTAGTTGGAAGTGCTGAAAAGGCTGCATGAAAAAGTTAGATGACCTGAGCTTTTCGCCAACAATTCATGGCTCTTGCACCACAACAATATACCAGCTCACATGGCACTGTCTGTGAGGGAGTTTTTAGCCAGTAAACAAATAACTGTATTGGAACACCCTTCCTACTCATTTGATCTGGCCCCCAATAACTTCTTTCTTTACCCGAAGATAAAAGAAATATTGAAAGAAAGACATTTTGATGACATTCAAGACATTACGGATAATATGATGACAGCTCTGATGGCCATTCCAGAAAAAGAGTTCCAAAACTGCTTTGAAGGGTAGACTAGGCACTGGCATCAGTGCGTAGCTTCCCAAGGGTAGTACTTTAAAGGTAACCATAGTGATTTTCAGCAATGAAGTATGTAGCACTTTTTTTAGGATGAGTTCACGAACTTAGTTGTTAGACCTTTGCAAGCCTTTATGTTTACCAGATCTTCTCTCCTATTATCTTAGAGTTATTTTCCATGGCTCAAGGCAGTATTTATCTGCATGTGCACCACTTGTATAAAAAATTAGCTGTGGTGCTTATTAAAATGCAGATTGTCAAATTTCACCCAGATCCACAGGGATGATGAGAATTCTCTAATGATACTTCTGGTCCCCAAAATTTAAAACTTAGATAACAAAGGCTATAGTCTTATTTTGCAAATGGTCATGGGAAGTACAGGTCTAGCATAAGTTTAGGGAAATCCAAGAACTGGACTTCTCATTTTGTGTTATATTGACAGACTATGCTCTCTCTTTTTAGTTTTATTTGCTTTATCAGGAATTTTATTGGAGTTGTACTACTGTACTGAGATCTAGCATTAATTACTCTAAAAGTAACATTTACCTTGTAAGTCTAAAACTATATAGAACAATGAGTTCCTGGAAAATATACCTGGACCATTATCCATCACTCAGCTCCAATTATTACAGTTGTGATGCATCTAATCCATCACTCTTATGTTACAGAAGAAGAAAAAGGGCTCATAGAGTTGAGAAAATTGTCAAAAGTCATATGACTAAATAACGGCAGAGCCAAGAGTAGAGTTAGGTCTCCCAACACCCAATCCAGTGTCCTTTCATCATATCCCAGTGTCCTAATCCTTGCTTATTTAAATGATTTATAGCAGCACTTAAATTTTAAAAATAACTATACCTACACTGCTCACATAAAATCTGGTCTCAGCAGTTTTTGACCTCCTTTAGTTTGTTTTACTTAAAGGTAAGTGAACATCACATCTTTCTTTTAATAATAGTGATCAATTACATAATGACAACTAATAACTCACAACTCCACTGTATATTGTTTTTATTCACCAGTGCAACTTTGACTGTTCTAAAGCAATGCTTTTCAGGATGTGATGAAAAAGCTTTGGTCTTTTTCACACAATACCTAATATCTTGTATATATTGTTCTATTACAGTCAAGCTCCTACACAGCATCAGTGTACATATAGACAACTTCATTCTTACCCTTGAGGTCACACAGGGATATTTATCTACATCTACATATTATGTTCATATAATTTGTGGTAGTGGGTGCTAGTCATGTTAGGATCACTGTATTTTATAAAATGATTTTATTTTGTTCTCAATTGTTTGTACTTTTTATATTATATATGAACTTCTGCTTATCACAGTTATCTTCTTCCATTCCTCTTTCCTGCTAAGAATGGAGTATTTGTAGTCTTACTGCACTAAAGTGCTACTCCCTCTAGCTAGTGTAAGTTTCTTTCCATCTTACCCTTAGATGGTTCACTACTACTTAGTGTCTAGTTAACTACTCCTCATTCTTCAGGTCTTAGCTCAGCTATTTCCTACTCATAGAAATATTTCTTTCCTTTAGCTCCTTATAGAAGAAGCTCCTTGACCCCATGCCCTGTGCTGTTTTTTTTTTATTAAAAGATTTTATTGGGGAATTGGGGGAGAGAACAGTGTTGGAGAATTGGGGAAGGGGACCAGCCAAGTTGTTGTTCTTCAATCTTCATTGTGGAGGGCGCCAGTTGCCATCTGGCTACCCATTGGCAGCTTGTGCCTCTAAGCTCAGTTGCAGGTGGGCATAGCCATCATCTCATGCGGGAGTCAAACAGCAGCCTTGTTGTTAAGAGCACACGCTCTATCCACTGAGCCATCCGGGTGGCAGCTCAGCTCAAGGTGCCGAATTCAGTCTTAGTTGCGGGTGGACATAGCCCACCATTGAGCAGGCAATCTTGTTGTTACACCAACTGAGCCATCCTGCCACCTGTTGGCAGCTCAACGACAGCTCAGCTCGGGCACAGCATCACTGGCCTATGTGGGAATTGAACCGGCGGCCCTGTTGCTCAGAGCTTGTGCTCTTAAGCCAACTCTTAACCAACTGAGCCACTCAGCTGGCTCCCATACTCTGTACTCTTTATTACTTTACAGTGTTTATTTCTTCATGGAATTTATCACAATATGTAATTTTTTGTTTATATGTTTGCATTTTTTATTCTCTTTCTCCCCCTACCCCACTTGATTGTAAGGACTGCGTGTCTATTATACAGAAGATGTGTCTATTTTGCCCCAGCACAATGACTGATACGTAGTAGAGACTCAGTAAATATTTGTTGAATGAGTGATATGTTTTTGTCAGTTTGTGTGGAATTTTGTAGTTTATTTAAAAGTATATTTGTATGTGGTAAATCTTGGTCCCTCATAAAACCCTCTTTTGGATTATCTCCTTCATTGATGGGACACTAACATAGACATAGGGTGGTCTACCTACTCAGTTACCTTGACTCCAGACCTATTAAATGGACCAAGCCTCCTAGAACATTTGAACCATGGTGCTTATCTTGAGTGGACCTAAGCTTTCTAGACCATTGTAGACCACAATGCACTATTTTCTAGAGCCTGCCCTCTATGGTGGCCTCTGGTCACAGGTGGTTACTGAACACTTGAAATGTGGTTACTGTGAAGTGCTATGTGCTGTGACTGTAAAATACGCATTGGATTTTAAAGATTTAGTATAAAAATATCTCATTAATACTTATCATATTGCTTACTTATTGAGATAATAAGTAATATATATTGGGCTAAATAAAATATTTTATTAAAATTAAATTCACTTTTTTCTTTTGACTTTTTAAATGTGTTACTGGAACACTTAAGATTATATATATATGGATTACATTTGTAGCTCGCATTATATTTCTATTGGGCAGTGCTATTCTAGAACCAATTAGTTCACCCCAGTTGTTTGCCAATGTAGACTGAAGGTGATCCACTGAAGAGAACGCTAAAATTGCAAGAGCTTCTCATAGGCTGCTCCTTTCTTGTTAAATGTGCTCTAGGGGAAGGACTGGCCCTCTTGGAGAGTGGCTCAGGTGCCATTTCAGTACTCCCTTAATGTCAAATCATGAGGTCCACAGGCAGTTTGTGTCCCCAGACACAGAAACTTTAAATGTGTTGCCAGTGGTCATATGTTTTACTTAAAACAATGCTGAAACCAGAACCCAAGTGTTTCAATTTTTTTTTAAAGATTTTTATTGGGTAATTGGGGGGATGGGAACAGTGCTGGGGAATTAGGGGAAGGGGAACAGACAAGTTGCTGTCCTTTTGTTCTTCAGTCTAGTTGTGGAGGACGTTGCTTCACTGGCCCAAGTTGGCACCATCATTGCGCTCTTCCCAGGCGAGGCAGATCAGTCGCCGGCTTCTGGACGGCCGCTCACTGCGGCTGCTGGCCGCTCACGCTGGCTGCTGGCTACATACGGTAGCCCATGGCAACCCACTGCCACAGGGGCTGCAGCCTACGCCGTCGCCGGCGACTCACGGCAGCCCAGCTCCAGGTTGAGCTGTTGTTCAGCATCTTAGCTGCAGAGGGCAGTGTCACTGGCCCTCATATGTGGGATCCGAACCGGGGCCCTCTGGCATCCCAAGCGAGTTCTTAACCATCGCGCCACTCGGCCGGCCCCCCAAGTGTTTCAATTTTGCTGTGTCATCGAATTACTTATAGAAGGATCTACTAATAAAATTATATCTTCCTTTTTAAGTGACTAGAAAAATTTAAATAATTGTTAATAAGTTACATAGATTTTCTAAAACCATCAATTAATGATATAATTACAGTCCAGTTTTTCTATCGTTAAATTATGGAAAATCATATATATACTTGATAAATTAAACAAATGGAAACTACTTCTGTCATTTTTGTCACATATGTTATAATAGAGCATTAAATTGGGATGACCTTTATTTAGCAAAGGAGCATACACTGCAAAGCAAAATTTAAACAAAAAGTCGGATATGAACATGAAATCTACTTCTAAGTAAATACAAATCTAATAACCATTCTTTGCACAGCTATGAAAACTCACTTGGAGACCATGCACTCTAGTTTGTAAAAATGGTTGCTATGTTTTATCCAAAAGCCCTCATCACTGACATATCAGGCAGACTTTTCTTAAATATGGAGATAGATTTTTAAATAATTAGCTTCATCACCATGATCTTCTGGCTTACTCATTAATTTAGCAAATATTTAGTGGGAACACACTATGTGCCAGGCATTTCTCTGTGTTCTAGGTGCTCATGATACTACGGTGATCAATGCAGACAAACTGTTGGTCATTAGAGCTTACATTTCAATGTTTAGGTATTTTCTCAGTGGGGAGAATGAAATGAAATGGTAAAGTAAATTGAAGCAGTGCTATTATAGAATGCCATGAGTGTCATTTTTTGTTAGTTGGGATTGAAGTGAATTTGGAATTTTCTATTTTTGTCGTTCTTGGGGAATTTGAAAATGGAGTGCATATGGAAAGTGGAAGGCATAAAAAAACCCTACATATCCAGTACTAATTAGCATTTTCAGAATGTAAGAAGACACTCTTAAAGCTTCAAGTAAAACAATTGGATGGGTGTTAAGGGATTTCCCAATAATTGGAGGGGAGGGAGTTGGCATACTTATTCAACTCTTCTTTCTTCTGCTGGGATATCCCAATCTATAGTTAACCAGATGTCGTAGTTTTTATATTCATCAATTCTAAAAACTCTAAGAATGGCTGCCCTTCTCACTCAACATAGACTCACCCATTCTCATTCTGTCACAGAACGAGTCCTGTCATTTTCACAGATTCTCTCCCTTCCACATCTTCACTTGCATACACTTCGACAGGTTCCCCTTCACCCTGGCCGCCTTTCAAGTGGAGCTTCCTTAAATATGGCACTTTCCCCTTAAAGCTCAGCCAGTAGATGTCTCCATTCCTTCCCCATCGCTAAGACCTCTGAAAGTAGGTTTTAATCATTTCTTTAACCGACAACGAGGAGGATTTGATGATTGGCCAAAAATGAGCAGATGCTTGGGAGGACACATCTCCAGCCTACGTCCCACCCTTCCGATTTAAGTCAGAAATGAAAACTCCTTGCTCCCTCTTTTCCAGGCAAAAGTGTTCAGCATGATTGAATTAAGCACGCAAGCCGCCAACACCCTCCTCTTCAGTACGTTCAAGTTTCTTAAGCTCTGAGCCACAAAAGCTCTGCTTCTTCCCTCACTCCTGCCCACCCCATCCCACCCCCTCAGGTTTCCGAGTCATCAGGGAACGCGAGTGGGTGAAAGGAGTCGGAGCTGCTGCATCCCGCTTCACCGCCTCCTCCTGCGCCTCCTCCTGCTGCCTCGGGTTCAGCACTGGACAGCTCCCGCCCCATTCCCAACAAATGGCAGTCGGCTGATTGACAGAAGAGCCGACCAAACAGGGAACAAGACGACTTGAAGCCGCCCTACAAGGGTTTGGTTGCGGTCAGGCTGCCTCTTTAAACCGGCTTCCCTCCCGAGAGCAGGGAGAGGCAGGCGTGTGGTTTGTGGCCAAATCTAAGGCGCTAGTTAACCAGCTGCCTGGCCCTCTCGACTCCAGAGACGTTGCAACGTCTGAAAAGAAATATCCGCTCTTTGGGACTGGCTGCGGGGCTCGCGGGGCCGGTCTGTGCGCGCGCGCTCCCCGCCTCCGGGCGAAGCGAATGAGGAGGAGCCAGATTCGGGAGGCGGGAACGACCTGCCACGGGTGAGATGATGGAGCAGCGTCTTCCGCGGCCGCGGCGGCAGCAGCAGCAGCAGCAGCCCCTGAGCACACCTCAATGAGAGCAGCGGTGGAAGCTGCCGAGCAGAAAGACGTAAGCGAGCTAACTATAGCTGCCGGGAGCCAGAAGGGAGGTAACCTGTTCTGCTCAAGGCTGTGAGGTGCGTAATCCCTAGCCGACCCACCGTGGAGCGGCTTGTAGCCAGTGTTGCCACAGGTGATCCGATTTCCTGTGACGGTACCTTAGCTCGTGGGCTGATTTTGAGACAGTCTTATTTTAAAGTCCTTTTCGACTGGGTGCCATCTGGAGAAGAGGGAAGTCTCCAAGTAAAAGTCGTACTGCTGTAAATTGACGACCGAAATTTAAAAAGTGACCCCTCCCCGTTACCTCTTCTCTCTGCGAGGCGGATGGGAGCCATGGCTTATCTCTTACTCTTCTGCTTCCTGCTCGCTCATCTGGGACTGGGGGCCGTTGGCGCCAGCCGCGATCCTGCGGGACGGCAGGGTTCCCCTCGAGAGAGGACCCTGAGGGCGAAGCAGCACGCCCAGCAGCCCGCCCGAGCCTCCGCCTCGGACCCCTCGGCTCCCAGGAGCCGCTCCACCGACGGCACCATCTTGGCGCAGAAACTCGCCGAGGAGGTGCCCATGGACGTGGCCTCTTACCTCCACACCGGGGATTCCCACCAGCTGAAGCTAGCTAACTGCTCGAGCCGCTATGAGTTGGCGGGCCTGCCAGGGAAGTCGCTAGCCCTAGCCAGCTCCCATCCCTCCTTGCACGGGGCGCTGGACACGCTGACACACGCAACCAACTTCCTCAACATGATGCTGCAGAGCAATAAGTCGCGGGAGCAGAACTTGCAGGACGACCTGGAGTGGTACCAGGCACTGGTGCGGAGTCTCCTGGAGGGCGAGCCCAGCATCTCCCGGGCGGCCATCACCTTCAGCACCGAGTCGCTGTCCGCGTCGGCCCCGCAGGTCTTCCTCCAGGCCACGCGCGAGGAGAGTCGTATCCTGCTCCAGGACCTGTCCTCCTCCGCACACCAGTTGGCCAACGCCACTCTCGAGACTGAGTGGTTTCATGGCCTCCGGCGCAAGTGGAGGACCCATGTACATCGCCGTGGCTCCAATCAGGGGCCCCGGGGCCTGGGCCATAGCTGGCGGCGCAGAGACGGGCTTGGCGGGGACAAGAGCCATGTCAAGTGGTCTCCGCCTTATCTGGAGTGCGAGAACGGGAGTTACAAGCCCGGGTGGCTGGTCACTCTCTCCGCTGCTTTCTACGGGTTGCAGCCTAACTTGGTCCCGGAATTCAGGTAGGGAGGGGGAAAAGGCAAGAGGAAAGCCTTCCTTCCGGTTTCGTGGGTGGGTGCGTGTGCGGGGAAGGTACATTTGGATGACACTTCGCTTCCCACCCTCACAGCAGAGACCTAGGCTGAGGGGCACACTACACGGGCGCATGTACTTAGGGACAAGAAGCGCCTCACGTTTGTCACCTTCAGACACTCACCGAAAGCTTCTCTCAGATCAAGGGACGGGGGAGCACTTGGCAGAGCTGAGAAAAACCTCTGATGCCCTATGCTTCTCTTCAAACCATGGGAGAATAGGGAGGGGAGTTCCCTGGAGGGGTGATGCTAGGGAACTTTGGGGTGTGCCCTCCAGGCATAGAATAGCCAGCATCAGATGAGAGAAAAGGGAGCCGGAGGAAGAGAGAGGTCCTTGTTTCTGTCACTTCAGGGTAGCTTCTGCCTGCTTCCTACGTGTGTAGTTTGGGGCACCAGTCTGCTGTAATTAAAACATTGCGATTCCCTTGGCAGTTCTGTCCCCTTAGTAATGAGTCAGTCTCAACAGCACAGCTGTCTCCAGGATCCAGACACTTTTTTGTCAGTGTACCCCCAATCCATATCCTCTTTCTTGGTCCCCTCTGTCTCCTTTTCTCTGTGTCAGGCGTGCTGAAGGGCTCTCCAGCCCTTCACAAACTCACACACTTTATAAAGGAACTTGTTTGAGTTATTTTAGGGAGGGAGGGAAAGAGGGATTAGCTCTGGCTGAATTCACTCAGGGAGCTTGGAGGAAACTTAGTAACACTTAGGTATTTCCTGTCTCAAGATATAGCATTTGTGGGAAGATGAGAATTTGCAAACTAGCAGGTGGTAACTTCTGCCCTGGGAAGTGCCTGGCCTTTGAGGTGAGAAACTAATAGCAGCCCTTAAAAGCTGATGTGAGGAGGGAACAGGGAGAGAAAGCAGCAACACCAAAGAAGGCCTGGCAGGGGGCCACAGATGGACTGGTATCCTCCCCAGTTCCCATGATGGGAGGCTCTGGGAAGAAGGTCTAGGGGTTGAAGTTGCTTCTGTGCTTATTGGGAACCTAGGCAAAATGAGAAACCTGTGTGTGTGTGTATGTGTGTGTCTTAATGCTTTGTTTGGCACAACAGGGGCAGGGTACCAGGCCAAGTACCGTATGGGCAAATAGGGGAGTCAGGAAGCTTCTTTATCTTGGCACTGTCATTTACTGCTGAATGACTTCAAGTAAGTGGCGTAGCTTTTCTGGAACTCACCTACTTACCTGTCAACTCAGGGAGTTGAACCAAATGGTCTCTAAGGAGCTATCCAGTTATAAAATTCTGTAGCTTTTAATGCTGGCAACACTTGAGAGGGCATAAATGTAAAACAACCCCCTTTCTCTGATTCTGTATGACCATAATAAATGTTTGTGTGTGTTTCTACCTCTTTTACAGATCTTGTCTTAAACCAGAGTAACTCTTTCCTACTTTCGGGATAATCTCATTGCCTTCTGGCTTCTGCAGGATCCTATTAGTAAGAGCTAGCCCCAGCTTTGAGGCTTTGCCATATTGTTTGCTCAGAAGAAGAAAGATCAGCAGATGTCATTCACTGCCAGCAAATTGATTTTGGCCTTCAGATAAACCTGAAAAGGGCATCCCAGGTCCCACGATCAATCAGTCTTCCTTCCTTCCCCTTTCCTTCTGTCTTTTACTTTATGTCAGGCTCTGTGCTAACTGCTTTGCATGTATTATCTTAATTAATCTTCACAACTACGCTATGAATTAGGTTTTATTAGTTTCCCTATTTTACAGAAAAAGAACCTGAAGCACAGAGAGGTTAAACTTTTCCCCCAAGATCACATAGCAGTTAAGTAGTAGAGCCAGGATTCAAAACCATTTTATACTTTTAACTGCTATGCTAAACTGTCTTATGAAGGTGTCCCGGGACTGTTACATGCAGTGTAGCTGCTGCATACAAATATGTGTATTTTTAAGCATTAGAAGTGGGACTGGGAATGAGAACCATTCATTTTCAGAATTATTTCTCTTAAGGCTCAGAAAACATGGGTCACCTAAATGAACTCAGTGCCTTTGCCAGCCAAGATGAAAGGCTGAGGACACAAAGGGTTCGGGGTTGTGAGGGCTCATACACCCCATACTTATTTTTTGGACTGCCTTCAGAAAATAGTTTCCTCTGGCTGAGCCTCTGTAAGTGCTTTCACAGTCATCGATGGGGTTCTTTAGCCGAGGCATGGAGCCAGGCCGTTTAGTGTCTGGCTCTCTACAGAAGCTGGCTTGTCCTGGCAACGTGCACGAAGAGCAGGATAAGTTCTCTCCTGTGAGCACTTTTGCCCCATGCCTCGTGCCCCTCAAATGCTGTACTGAGGATTCATACAGATGGTAATTATAGGAACTGGAAGAAACCTTAAAAGGATCAGATGGTCCCTCCTGTTGTTTCATAGATAAAGAAACAGAACTAGAAAGGCGAAGGGACTTGTCCTAAAGTCACATAGTAACACCACCACAAACAAGCAGGATCCAGGCCTCTGCCTCTGGTTCACACTATGCTTGATGTGTATATACCTAAATCATATTTCTGTGGCTCTCCGGACCTTTGCACACAAAGTATGTCGGAGGACATAGTTTACTCTTAATCATCTTTTAGGACAAAAAAAAAATTAGCCCATAGAACACAGCTGGTGATTTTTAAAAATGGATTATATTATTTCACACATTTGAGATCATGTTTAAATGGATGTTTTCTGTCTTTTCATACTCACAAAAGGCACAGTTTTTTGTTGTTGTTATTGTTGTTGATAATGTTTTATCACCTCAGATGTGTACTCTAATATTCTAAAACATAGGTGAATAATGTTGTCTGGGTATTATAACAGAGTAAACCTCAAATGTATTTTTGGGAAACCATGATTATGAGCTCTAATCATGATTTTAAATATATTTTGAACCTATAGGGTATTATTTGTAAAAAGTCTTACCTGTAATGAAAAAAATCCATTGATAATGATTTCCTTATGGAAGAGAAAAGGGGGGAAAACTTTGTAGTTAAAATTGCCATTTAAGGTCAGATAATATTTCCCCGGGTCTTGCTTACAAGATTCAAGCATTTAAATTGCATTATATTTTATTTTTAGAGAATGTAAATCCAAAACATGAAATTCAAAAGTAATGTGAGAAAATGGTCAACTACCTTCTTATATTAATGTTTATTGTTGTGAAACACCTCTCAGAATAAATGTTATTCCCCCATTTCAGAATGATACAAATATCTTAAATTTTAAAGCCTAGCATAAGACTCAATGGGAAGAGAAGATTATTATTCATTTCTTTCTTTTCGAAAAATGGTATTAGTTGCTCTAACTACATGTCTCTTGAGTCTTTGGCTATAGTTCCGTAGTATAAATATTTTAGTTCTCGTCTTCCATTCTAGCAAAAAAACAGAGAGTAATAATTTAAAGTATACCCTATGGTATTTTTATTTCTTGCATTAGGTATGTGATATTCTTGTAGAGTTTTCCTTACAGTGAAGTCCTTTAGTTTTGCATAGTCATTTTTCTTTGTGGAACTTAAGGTACCATGGAGTTGGATCCCATTCTGCTGAAATCATACTTTCCGGTGGTAGTTGGAATGGCTCAGTGCCTAGGATGGATATAGGTACTTAAGTGTTTGTTGAATTTAAACTAAGGTGAAGGAATATTTGGGGATTACTTATTTCTTGATGAACTGAAAGGGACTTTGGAATTCATTTGTTTTTTTTTCATCTTCTCATTTTATAGAGGAAGAAACTGAGGCCCAAGGGCTCAAGGAATTTGCTAGAGTGGCACAGCTCTTTAAGTAGTAGGTTACAATTATTGGGAACCAACATATATTGAGCACCTACTATGTTAGATGCTTTATAAATACTGCTACATTTGATTCTTAGTACTCTCAGGTAGTAACAACGTCAGCAAAGTTGAGCAATCTGCCCAAGGTAACATAGCAAATTAGGGGCCCCAAATCAAATTTATATCTGTCTCACTATGAAGCTTGTGTTGTCTTTCTACTACCCTATGCTGATTCCCAATTTTATTTTCACCTTGTTATTAAAAATAAAACATGGTAATGGCTTGAAATAATGTGTTTGGTCCAAGGAAGTAATATACACTTATTCTTTTTAGGCCAATCATATGATCAGGAATGTTGTGAGAAAAGTGTGAGTTAGACTTAAGTCAGAACTTTGCCTCAAGTCCCAGTTTTGTTTCTGACTGGCTTTATTATCTGTCTGGGAGTCAGTTTCTGCACAATTAAAATGTAGGAATGGACTTGATGATATTCAAATACCTTTATAACTTTTTGTTCTGTGGGCTCTTAAAGGATCTACCTAAAGGGTCAACAAGTAAGCTTTGGAAAGAGGGCAAACGCAGTACCTTGTGGAAATGATATTGATAATGGGGGAGTAACATGAAGAGGGAGAGGAAACCGAATGAATGTCAGACTGCCGTTTGGTAAAAAAGGCAACAGGGCAATGAAGGAAAGCGCACAATAGTGGGGAAACCCCTTTTTACAAACTAACACAATGAACATCGGTGTCAATGACTTGCTGGCTGCTGTTGGGTCACTTCACTTTCTCTCCTTCACACACATACACCCACACACCTCCATCAGTGCCAGTACAGATCTCTGCTTTCAACAAGAGAGGGCAATTCACACAGTATAAAAGAAATTACAATCTTGCTCCCGGCCAAACATATCCTATGTCTCTCTTGTGGGTAGTGATAGTGGTGAAGAGCTTACCTTGTAGGAACAGCACAGTGATACCTGAGTTATAGAAGGATGTCTGCTATTGAGGTTATTTTTAAAAGATTTTCATTAAAAAATATAGCTAACATACAATATTATATCAGTTTCAGGTGTACACCATAGTTGTTCAACATTTATATACCTAGAGAAGTGATCACCATAAGTCCAGCAACCATCTGACACCATACCACGCTATCACAATATTATTGATTATATTCCCCATGCTGTACATTA